TATATATATATATATATATATATATATATATATATTAGATAGATAGTTTTATAGATAGATAGATAGATAGATAGATAGATAGATAGATAGATATAAAGTGAATATTGAAGTCAACACTCAGAAGCGACAATCGTCAGGCCACCTGAGAATTGACTTGAATGATCACTGTTTATATTCATATATGCTCTGTCTCAGATATTGAGCTCTTTATCTGGTAAATATAGCACACCTGCGGTTAATCGATTCTGTTACCTGTTTGATTATCGAAGGCGGGTGATTGGAGGATGTTTTGGCATTTGTACGCTCCGGCCTTCTTCAGGATCTGTTTATATTTCTGAGATGAAGTACTGTATTTACACATTATTAAAATTGTTCGGACTTCTGTCATCATTTTCGTTGCCATATTTACGACATTTCGGCCGTTGTAAGCCCCGGCCTTCTTCAGGATTGGCCTATATTTCTGAGATGAGGTACTGTAATTATTTACATTAATTGCATTGTTCGGAATCTTATCCACATCTTTGTTGACATATACACGAGGTTTCGGCCGTTGTACGCTCCGGCCTTCTTCAGGATTTGTCTATATTTCTGAGATGAGGTACTGTAATTATTTACATTAATTGCATTGTTCGGAATCTTATCCACATCTTTGTTGACATATACACGAGGTTTCGACCGTTGTACGCTCCGGCCTTCTTCAGGATTTGTCTATATTTCTGTGAAGTGGTATTGCAATTATTTACGCTATTTACTGTTGTCCTCATCTTCGTTGTCATATTCACAACGTTTCGGCCGTTTTACGCTTCGGTCTTCTTTAGGATCTGTCTATATTTCTGAGATGAGGTGATTATTTACACTATTTAAATTGTTGGAACTGTTGTCCTCGTGTTCGTATTCATATTCACAACGTTTCGGCCGTTGTACGCTCCGGCATCCTTCAGAAACTGTCTATATTTCTGAGATGAGGTATTCTAATTACTTATATTACTTACATTGTTCGGACTGTTGTCCTCATTTTCGTTGACATATTCATGACGTTTTATCCATTGTACGCTCCGACCTTCGGGTGATTGAAATTTCAAACTGAACTCTTTATTTCGTACAGCGGAGTAGATTGCTCAACTTCCACTTGCACTGCCTCTTCCAAATGTATCAGTATCAGTTATCTCCCTTTAACTCAACTCTCCAAGTTTTTTTGTTTTTTGTTTTTTTCATCTTTGCTGTAGCCAGGTATTGAATTGATAACTCTTTGGGTTGTTAATGGATTCAACAGTAGAGCTGAAAAACAACAACAAAACAGATTTCGAAAGGTTTTATTCAGTCATTTGAATCATGGTTTGGTTGTAGATAGCGTAGTAGTAATTTGACTTCGAGTCTGCGTTTGGAAATGTTTACTATCTTCTGGGAAGTGGGTAATACTGTTGTCTCTTCTAGACCGAGATTTTGCAGTGATTTCGTAAGCTGAAGTTTACGTTATTATTTTCCATCTTATTTCTGCTGTCTACACTTTGAATATTGCTGTCACATATGGTACGATGCGCCTGCTATATGTTTAGAGATTCTTCTTAAAATCTAAAGAAGATTCAGCTATATTATTGGTCCTGACCTGGTGTCTCGGCTTCAGTTACTTTCCTACCATTGTAATATAGCTTCCCTGTGTCTTTTCTATAAATACTTTCATGGTAATTGTTCGGATAAATTCTTCACCATGCTACCTAGACTTTAGGGATTTGAGCGCAGTACTAGATTGGCGGCAAGGTCTCATGATTTTAAAGTTGAATTGGCTACTTGCAACCGTAAGTTCTACGTTTCTCGGCTGTGGAACTCTTTTCCTGTCCCAGGCTTTCCAGCCAAATTTGAACTTCAAAAATTTAAATGCAATCTTAATCGTTATCTAGTGTCTTCTTGATTACACTTCTATTGTTCTTGATCCTTAAAAATGTTCCACTTCTTTCTTATTCTTTTACACTCAGTGCCTCTTTGTGTCTTGGCGGCTTATCAATGCGTTAATTTCGATTAAAAGAAAAAGAAAAGAAGGATTTAGAAACTCTGGTCACCAGAAAAACAAACAAGTGTAAAATCAATTTAATAAAATCAATATACGAGGGTCATTCAATAAATAAGGTGATTTTTTCGGTATAAGGACTTCTAATACAGATAGAAGCTTACTTTTTTTTATTTTTTTCAACGTAGTCTCCCAGCACTGTCACACACTTTTCCCATCTGTGCACAAGCATCCGTATTCCCTCAGCGTAAAAATCTTTGGACTGATGTCTCAGCCAATCGCTCAAAAACACTTTTTGACTTCATCGTCACTTTTAAACTTCGTGCCTCTCGTGAACGCTTTCAAGGGACCAAACAGGTGAAAAGTCTGAAGGGGCAAGGTCTGGGCTGTAAGGGGATGCGGGAGCAGTTCCCAGCCCAGCTTTATTGATGGTCTGCACCGTTTGGGCTGCTGTGTGAGGCCTTGCGTTGTCATGATGCAAGATGACTCCTTCTG